GATTCTCTCCCCCATCCCACTGAGAGGGGAATGAGTGAGCGGCTCTGTGGTGCTCAGTCGCTGGCTGGGGTTAAACGACAACATCAGAAAGATACAAGACTTAAATAAGGATGTAAAATTATTTTCATTCTAAAATAAAAAAACATAGCTACTTAAAAGTATCAAAATACCCTGATAGTATGCACATTTTATTTCTCAGCTGGATCTTTTCTCAAGTCGATGTTACATGGAATTAAATGTTTTCGCTCGAGAAAATAAGATTATTCTAACATTTTAAATCATCCCATCCTTCTGCTAGAAGACAAATTTTCCACAGCCAATACTCACAGTTAAACGGTGTATCTATGTATATAAAGTTAACAATGGGAGTCTCTCCTCCACCTGTATATGCTTTAACCACTAGTTTGTATTTTGTGTTTGACAATAGGTTTTTCACGGTGTATCTCTTTTCTTCTGGGTTTTCAATTGTGTATTTACATAGCACTGAATCATCTAAAATGAAACAGATAAGAGAGAATCACAGAATCACAGAATGGTTTGGGTTGGAAGGGACCTTTAAAGATCATCTAGTCCACACACCCTGCCATGGGCAGGGACATCTTTCACTAGATCACATTGCTCCAAGACCCATCCAACCTGGCCTTCAACACTTCCAGGGATGGGGCATCCACAACTTCTCTGGGCAAGCTATTCCAGTGTCTCACCACTCTCAAAGTAAAAATTTCTTCCTTATATCTAATCTAAATCTACCCTCTTTTAGCTTAAAACCGCTACCCTTTGTCCTACCACTACAGGCCCTGGTAAAAAGTCTCTCTCCATCTTTCTTATAAGCCCCCTTTAAGTATTGAAAGGTTGCAATAAGGTCTCCCCAAAATGTTACAAATCAGCTTAACTGAGACCGCTAGACCACTGAAATAACAGAACATTTTCAACCCGCCTTCTTTGTAATTTGCACACTTTATTCTGAGAAGGATGATGCATCCTGACTCATTGCCAGTGGACTGAACTCAGATCCCTTCTAACTGGGCTGTCCACAGCATTGCCCATCCTCTGGCAGACCACCTAATAACTTGCTGTCAAAAACTGCAACTGCTTATTTTAATTTCCTTTTACTAGAGCTTTTTAACAGAATGATTTGGGTTTTGCCATTTCCTTTTTCGCCAGAATCCTGAAGCCCTTAAGCTTAGGTCAAGTTCTTTGAAGACAATTGAAAGCAAGAAATCTCTGCCTGAAAAAAACTTCTTTTGCCTCTCTATTGTGCAACTCCCAGACCCCAGGGAGAAAAGGATTAGTTTATTCCTCCTGTTCCAGTCACACCCCTTGTCTGCTAGCTCAGACAAACTGGGAAGCAGGAAATCTTAAATTTAAACATTTTAAAGTCTAACTGGGGTTACTTGCAGAATTATGGCACTTCTATGGTTAGTTTAGTTCTGACAGAAACTCCTACATAGCCTCCTTCAGTTCAAACTAAGCTTTTCAGCCTGGTAGTAGTCTAACCAGCAGAAGGATCTGACACAGGACATGATCCAACTAGAAGAAGAGGCAAGTAAAAAAAAAAACATCCTTGAACACGTTGGAAACATCTGAAAATTATAATGCAGCAAAGTCATCTGGAGCAGTTTTGAGTGTGGAGCAGGAAGATCCGATATAAAAGTTTAAATGTGGCTTTGTGCCACCCCACAGCTCAGTTCTGTTGAAGGAACTCCACTGTAGAGCACAGCCACAAATACTTTCACTATACAAGAATTTAAATGGGGAATTTACACAGTGCTCCAATTCTGAAGGAAATAAATTGTATCCCAGCTGTTTCTAAAATACCCCAAATCCTAGTAAAACTAACATGCTTCCTATGACTCTCATCCAAGTAGACCACTAACAGATGTTTTCAAAATTCATCCAGAACTCAGATCACAAGAGGCAGAAACTTGACTCCTCCTACACTACTGCAAGAATCTTTTCTGGAGCTCACACTGGAGTTAAAGGAGCTATGGACAACAGGACAGGGGCTATAAATCTGTATAAAGCCAGGACCCACTTCCGTCCATTAGCACCTCATGCATTAGAGAGGAATCAAAAGCAGTCGGTGTTGAAATCTATATATTGCCTAATAAGCCAATTTGCCTGCCTAATGTGAACTTTCTAAGAGGCTGCAATATCAGCAACAGCCACAAAATCTTTCACCTACATCAATGACACAAATTCCTAAATCCCAAAGCTCAGTTACCTGGAAGAACATGTTTTTTGGATCCTTTCAAGCTGCAGTCCTTATGTATAGGCGACACATAAACATGGTAGCCTCTTACAAAACCAGACTGTGACTCATTTGTGGGATAAGAATCCCAAGATAGGGTTACTGCATTCAAAGTCAGTTCAACTTTTTCCACAACAGGGTCAAGCAGAGGAGCTGGAAGAAAGAAAATTCAAGTTAAACGTGCCATTATTCTTCAAAAATGTTTATCTTCTCACTTGAAAAACACCTGGTGTTTCTGCTTATATCTTACTTGTATTTAAAAGCTGAACAAAGCCAAAGCGCTCCATAAAAACTGTCAACTTCACAGAGCCTTCACACAGTCCACGTGATACACAAAGCAGTGATTGCTATCACAGCTTTGTTTAGTATTCTAATTAACATGGACTCTACCGCGTCACTGCACTAATCAAATATCCTTGATGTAGGGCCGTGTATGTCGTTGTACAACTTTTAAATGTTTTTAAATGTTTGTTGTACAACTTTTAAATGCTTCACTGACGATATAGAAACAACACAGCAAATAATACATTTTTAGCTCGTTGCAGGAGGAAGGCTGTGGCATTCTTCTGTTTGTTACAGATGAATTTAGCAAATACACAAACTCTAAATATGTTGCCAACTTACGTAGCTCCCTGAGATAACCAGTCTTCTTCTCCAGTAAGGAGGCTCTATTAGCCACAGATCCATAGATGTGGAAGTTGTATCTCACCCCCGGAACAAAAGCAGCTAGAAAATAGTGAAACTGATTACAAAAATAGGTTACGGTTTGTCTTTTGGTTTTGCTTTTACTTAACTGCTTTCTACAGAGGTCTATAATCCATTAGAATTCTTCTTTGTGTGCTACTGTGCTATTAAAGCAACTGAAGGAGACACAGGGTAAACCAATTCTTTGTGTGCATAATGTGAATTGAACACATTTATTTTTTCTGAAAGAGAGAATTGTGGGGGGGGTCTAACATATTTGTTGCCCTAGAGTATTCAAGATGAGTGCACAATAAGCTCCAAATACATCAAAGAGCAAGATAATTTTATTTCTGTTTTTCGCACAGGCAAAGGTTGTGTTTTGGACTGTGTCTACATAACTACTGTAATGTAGACACATACCCATGCATCAGGATTCCATGTTATCCGCACTGACATCCACTCCCATTTAGGTTAACAAAGTGCAACCCACTGAAGAACTGGACAACATTTTTTCCATGTGTTACCACACTCTCCTTCAGTAAGAATGCAGGCTCCCATGTGTTTGTATGAATTGAAGTGCAGTTCCTTTATTGCATATTGAAATTCAGTCAAATTTTGTTCAAATTGTTTCATTCCAAAGTGAACTCTCAGCTCAAGAGACTCCAGAAAGGATATATTCTTGCAGCTGTGGAAGTATATCAGAGCAACTTTCACACAGCCAGAAAGGATTTAGGTCTAATGGCCACCACTGGGATAAAAACCAGACAACTGGTCCTAAGCAAGGACTGGTGCTGAGACACATTATTTGTGGCACACTGAGTACTAAACCCCTCACTACACAGTGGGTGTTAAATTGCCCGAGTCTAAACTTCTGACCCGTGTTACAGATAAGGCAGAGCTCCATTTTGCATCTCTCCTACTAAAAGATTTTTAACTCCTTCATTAACCTCACCATCCTCCTTCAAGATGTTACTACAAGCTACTCACAAGAGTTTTTCTCTAAAATACTATGCTGACTTTTCTAAAATACTGTGCTGACTTCCAAGGCTTAATGGTGCTGGCACATTTGTGATGTCTAATTCATTTGCTAGGCAAAACATGATGCCACATGCCTTTGAACAATTACACCTGCACTGCACAGACTTCAACATTCCACAAGATTTGTTTCCTAAATTCAGTTAATGCCCACAGCATGAAAGATTGCTGCACAGACATCAGAAAGAAAAATTGTTCAGCTTTCACCTGAGTTGATCAGAGTATTGGAAGTGTTGGGCCCAAACCTCTTCCACTGCAAATCACAAGGCTCCAACATCGGAAAGTTACACCAATCAATAATGTAACTGTCATATATATGTCTGGGCTCCCAGGAAATAAAAATGCCATCATCTGTACCATTAACCTGTTCTTCTTTAAGCTCTTCGGTGCCTAGGAATGAACAAAACAGAGTCTCTATTATTTTCCTGCATGAGACCTCAGGTTCATAAATGAAGATCAATACAGTTTCTATGCTAAGCTGATAAAACAATAATAAAATAGTTCCATTCCTTCACTATCAGACATCTGGGATCTTTCACATGCTGAAAGTTGATCTCTTTGTATGCTGAAAGCTGACAGCTCAAAAAACATCGAGTAATTATTACTATATATTAATAAAAAGAACTCAACTGCAGAAACCTGGAGTCATAAACAGAAAGTCACAAGAGGCTAATCACACACAAGAATTCCCTGCGAGGCACTGGCTACACCTTCATGGCACCTGCCACAGGTCTGAGGCCCTAGTTTAAGGCTAAATGTGTTTTGCTTTGCAGAGACTCTCAGTGCAAAACAGACTTCTGTCATAAGGGATGGATCAAGGCAATTAAGCTTAATATACATACATTTACCACCCTGCAGGCAAAAATACAGTAATAATTTCCAGAGAGCAGTGATGTGAGTTAACAGGCCAGGTTAATTTGTTCCCCCTAAGATGATGAATTATCACTTCACTTAAAATAGGTCGAAACAAAACTCTCATAATGGAAATCTAACTGAAAATATTCCTATTGTTACCTGTAGCTCTAGGAATGATCAATATTGACGGAAGTGAATAATTAACATTGTTCTTTGCCATGATACTGATTCTGTAGGAATGGTTATCAATGGAAATCCTCGTGCTATTGTAGACTGATGAAAAGGAGATGCTTTCCGGATTAGAGCCATCTTCTACTTTTTCCCAGGTTACTTCATAAGAAATATTTCTTCCATTTGCTCGAAAACTTGGTGCTTGCTGGGGAAAAAGTTATGGGGGTAGACACCAATTACTTAAAAATTTTGCCGAAAAAATATGAGAGAAGCATTTAGAACTTTAAAAAACTACTTCGATATATTATTTCTGTGATAACAGAAACACTTGTTTCCATACATGCATATCTATACTGGTTGAAATGGAAATGTGGGAATCTCAGTAATGGGATTTGTCATGTTATAATACTTAGAAAAACAGGAGTATATGTCTGAAATGCCAGGACAGCACACCATCATATAGCTACGTATGTTCTGAAGTACGTTACATGTAATATTTTTCTTAAATTCTTAAAAGACATTTTCATACTGAGTTGCTATTAAATGCATACAAACTTGTTAAAGTTCATGGGAGAAGTTTCTAATCCGTTTTGTTTCCGTTTCCGTTTACCGATGTCTCACCTTCCAGAACAAGGTCACATTCCGCCCCCCCAGAACTGGTGTAATTTCTCTCCAGATGTCCAGTTTCCCTGATGGAGCTGCAATAAATACAGAAAACCAAAGATGCTCCAGGTGCAGAAAGGATAAAACGTTTCATTGCTTCCTCCCATTTGAAGAAATTCCACCCCCAAAACTCTTTTTCCCCATCATTCCTAGGTCTTGCCAAATCCTTTAACTTCTTTCTCCATTTTTTTTCTGAATGAATGTCTGGTTCATTTCCCTAGAAAATCTCTCTTTGCTTGCAGTTCCCAGGTGCTTGTTCCCACCTTTGCACCTTCCTCCAGCCTTCACAGAACACTGTAACTCAGTCTGTCCATCCTCCCAGTCATCTAGATTTCCCACTGCCTGCACTGGATAAAATGGCAGATACTGGCAGGTAGGATGAGAGTTGTTTAAGAAGCCACCTTCTTAAAGCTTGCTTAGTGTGCTTCTACTTTTATGCATGCAACAGGCCTCCGCTTCAGCTACACAGCAGAAGAGTAGCAACAAACAGCACGCAGAGGTGGCAAGTGGAGAACCTCCTTCAAGCTTCCCTTCTCAATAGGCTGGACGTACTTGCTTCCTTTGTTCTGATGGTTCGGGCTTCGCTCCATTCACTCCACCTCCAGAAATGCTTAGCTGCTCCACAGTGTATTCTAGCTGTGTATTCAGTATATGGCTGCAGTCCACCCAGGGTGATGCTGGCATAATGGAGATGCGTGTCTGAACTATTATGCTGCAAGACAGAAACACAAAACAGTCAGAGCTCAGTTCAGCTTCATTAGCAAGAGGTTTTTGTCTGAAAAAATAATTCTTCCTCTAGATCCTATGATGGCTGTTAAGCTTCAGTCAGAAAGGGGGAAAAGAAAGGGGGAAAAGAAAGGGAGGGGGAAAAGA